CTAATTTACAGCATGCAAATACTGAAGACAACTTCTGGCACGAAACTGGCGCAGAGCTTTAAAATAAGAATACCATTTTTCAAGCACTGCCTGTGAAATATACTCTACTACTATAGGTCCCGTCATTTCAAACATGCTTGAGACATTTGTACAAGGCCAATGGTGGGGGTAGGTGATAGAAGGAAAAAGCTGTGAATTATTTCCTCAGATTTCATTGTGGAGTTATCATTCAACAGAAAACACACTATGTTAGGAACGGTAAAAAAAGGAAATTAAACATCATCCAAACTTCAGACTTTTCTGCTATTCTTATTCTGCTATTCTTAGTCCATTAATAAACTTAAGAAATAGTATGAGCGAGAAGGTGAAAGGAAACTGCTTTCTAAGTAAATCTACGCATATTTTACAATATCAATAAAATACTAAGGCAAAATCTTTTTTTTTTTTTTTTTGACAATTAGAGCAAAAAGATTTTAAAGGAGAAAATGAGACTTTTTAGCTGTAGCACCTGAAGCAATATATTCCCCTTTTTCAAAACTGTAGACACCAGGCCGGGCACGGTGGCCCACGCCTGTAACCCCAGCACTTTGGGAGGCCAAGGTGGGAAGATTACCTGAGGTCAGGAGTTCGAGACCAGCCTGACCAACATGGTGAAACCCTGTCTCTCCTAAAAATACAAAAAATTAGCCGGGCATGGAGGTGGACGCCTATAATCCCAGCTACTCGGGAGGTTGAGGCAGGAGAATCGCTTGAACCCAGGAGGTAGAGGTTGCAGCGAGCAGAGATCGTGCCACTGCACTCCAGCCAGGGTGCGACAGAGTGAGAGTCCATCGCAAAAAAAAAAAAAAACACAAACAAAACAAAACTGTAGACACTAACATTTTACAAATTTGAAAAAAAAGTCTCATGAAATATTTGAGTAATGCTAATAAATACACCCTTCTTTTAATAATTGATAATTTTCCCCCAAATTGTTTGAAAACCGAATTTATGAATCAAGATTAACTTAAATCTTCTTGACAAATAAAGTTGAATCTGAAAGTACGCAATAATATTTATTAAACACCTACTATCTACTTTCACATTATCTTATTTCAGTAAATCAGTCTATAAAGAAAGCAATCACACCTAAATCATCTTTGGAGAAAACCGAGACTAATACATGATCAAGACACAACTACAGGCAAAATTTTTTTATCATGTACTTAACATATACAGCATTAGAAAATTCTAGTTAATAGTCCATAACAGTATTTACTAAATAGTAATATATTCTCATTGCAAAAATAATTATTTCAAGTCACATTAAGAGACCTATGACCTTGTTATGTGATAGAGAACAATGCTGAAATAATCACATAGCATAATTCCAGTGCATGAAGCCTAAATTCCGGAGGATACTTTATAGTATGAGGCAATATTGCAAGTAAAACACTAAGGTTAGAAACTAGGTTCTTCTGTTGGCCGAGCACAGTGACTCATGCCTGTAAGTCCCAGCACTTTGGGAGGCCAAGGCGGGTGGATCTCTTGAGCCCAGAAGTTCAAGACCAGCCTGGGCAACGTGGCGAAAACTCATCTCTACAAAAAAATACAATACACAGGCAGCGTACCTACAGTCCCAGCTACTCAGGAGGCTAAGATGGAAAAAGAATCACCTTAGCCTCCCAAAGGAGCTGAGGGAGGCTGAGGCTGCAGTGAGTCATGATCACACCACTCCACTCCAGCCTGGATGACAGAGTGAGATCCTATCTCAAAAAAAAGGAAAAAAAAAAGGAAAAAGAAAAGAAAAAAGAAACTAGGTTATTCTGTTACATACAATACTTTGAAGGATATAAAAAGGAACTATCTGTTCTAGATAAAACCAGCAATATTTCAAATGAATAACAAGGACTAGACTCAGCAAGAAGTGTTCTAGCTGATTAGATTCAAATCTTTCCTAAGTACAAGTAAAATTAAGGAATTTAGAAAATCAGCTGATAATTATTCTAAAGATGCAGTCGGTCAGATCTCTTCAACAGAGGAATCAAGACTTGCACATATAAGGATAAAAGAAGAATTTTAATAAATTAAATGAAAAAGAAGGTTGTAAAACAATAGCTTTCTATGGAAATTAATATAAACAATTGAAACATTAGCTTAATACACAAGCTTCAATAACTAGAAACCACTGTAATAAAATGAGTTTCTACCAGTGTAAACTATTCTCACCCAAAAAAATGGAAATATCAAAAAAAAATCCTAAGATCTATGCAGCCTAGTGTTTCAACTACCATATCAACTCAATTAATTTTAAATTTTAAGAATCGACAGCCAGGCATGGTGGCTCACGCCTGTAATCCAGCACTTTGGGAGGCTGAGGCAGCTGACCTCTTGAGCCAAGGAACTAGAAAACAGCCTGTGACACATGACAAAACCCCATTTTTACAAAAAAAAAAAAAAAAAAAAAAAAAATTAGCTGGGCATGTAGGCAAGTGCCTATAGCTCCATCTACTCCAGAGGCTGAGATGGAAGGATCACTTGAGCCTGGAAGGCGGAGGTTGCACTGAGCCAAGATGGTGCCACTGCACTCCAGCCTGGGAGGCAGAGTGAGACCCTGTCTTAAAAAAAAAAAAAAAAAGAAATACCTCAAACTGTAAAATCTGTATTGTTAAATCTCAGGATGGGAGATTATATAGAGTAGAAGGGAAGGATTTGTGAGGGAAGTAAGGAAGGATGATACACATCTGTGTGCATTAGAGAAATTAATAACTTATTAAATATGAATAAATCTGCATTAACTCTTTTTATTTAAGAACTCTCTACCTGGTCCTTTTTTTCCCCCCAATAGTGACATCAAAATGATACTTAACTGTCATTTAAAATATATATACACATATATGTAAATAAAATAAGGGTATAAAGGTAGAAAGGAGGAAAAAGGTTATGTTCACAATGTGACCCTACATTGACTAGAGAGAGAGAGAGACAAGAGGGAAGAGAAAGGACGGAAAACAGCCAAAAGGAATTCTGCCCAGACCTCCTTGTATAAAGATAATCCAAAACCTCAAGGGGAAAACGCAAGGTGGAGAAAAGGCAACACTCCCAAAGCATATTTAGAATTGAATTTACTCAATGTAGAGACCTGAAAATAAATTCCTATTTTTAAAAAGAGATGTACTATATCTTGAATAATTACTTTGCAACTATTAGGTCTGTACCCTTTACTATGCCTAACAAAGTACAGGAATAGTCTTTTTAGAACAAAGCTGAATATACTTTGAGTATACAATGGCATAAAAGTACTCAGCTCAATTTCTCCAAGGTATACACCTAATTCATCTACAGGCTTACTTTTAAACAGGCATTCTTCATAATTATTTAAGTCAATACAGCAGTATTGAACTACAAATGACTTATCGAGAGGAAAATGATTATGCGCAATCCCTAAATTCTATGCTTTTTGAACTCCTATTTTATGCTCATTTTTCAATTTCTATCAAATACTATATAAATTTCCATTCTCTTTAGAGACAAAGAATGTATCTCAGTAATGTAATTTTAATACCCACACACCTGAACGAATTCTAAAACAAAATACCAAAGGAAAAGTTTCTACACTATTACTGATCCATATGCAATTACACAATTGCTTCATATCATGCTTTTTTAGCTTAAAAATTTTAAATCCACAAATAATTAAACCACAAAGCACAATGCAAGTTCAATAATCACTGGAATATGCCTTTTAAGAGAGGCAGAATCTGGTATCTAATATTCTTCCATAAAGTATACTATATATCATAATTAAAATGCATAAATTCATTTCTACATTCATCTAAACAAAATGCAGCAGAATTAAACCCATAGATTAGGATTTCTTGCAGAGCACAAAAAAAGTGGGTACTTGCAGGTAATAGTTTCCTGCTCATTTCTTTATTTAAGTGTTAAAAATCTTAATATGAAAAAAAAATCTCTTCTCATTCCCTTCAATCATACCAATCTTGATGATCTAATGTGAAAATAAACTGTGACTTCCTTTTAATTGATTTTAGGTTTGTCTGGTTAACTACTTTGTTTATTGAAACTGTTACCACCTTCCCACTTATCAGTTGGCACAAATATGATTTACTCTGGGATCTGTTAGCTTTGGTTAGAAGATGCCACCCTGTGTGTCTTCCTCAAATCCGGAACCTAGCTCTATGGAGGTTAACTAACTTTATATTGTGACCCTCAAACCAGTATCCACAAGCTGTACATCATAACCCATGAATAAGTACCACGGAAGTAAGGGCCACACCCAGTTTCCCTTAAAGAATTGAATATATAAAGTAGTAGGAAGTTCCTATACCTTTCCTGATCTGTTTTTCAGTCTGCTAAGCAGCTGTCTCTCAAATCTAGAGGGAGACAATCAGGTTATCAGCATTCTCACATATTTCCAAAAAAATGAAACTGAATTCCCTTCTTTAAAAAATGTCTATGGCCCCTATGTATTCATATCAAAATAACCACAAGGAAAATAAAAACTTTCACTTGAAAAAGATTTTATTGTTTGTTCTCAAACAAAAATTTATACTGTTTTCAAAACGTCCTTCAAAAACATTACCTGTGAGCACTCAGCCACAGGCCCTTCTCCTACCACTATAAAATAATCTCTGCAGTGATAAATGGCAGTGGGTTAATATCTCACCTCTGCTTCACCAAGTTATTCCACATGTAATTGGAGGTTTTCACCTTTCCTGACAAATTTCTGCCACAATGTACTCTAAGAAACACAAAACCTAAGAATGTTAAGTGCATAAGATTTCTGCGTCGGAAGACTGTGCAGAGTAAATTCTGGATATACTGTTTAATTTTCTTCTCAGCAGGGGGAGCTAGCACTCTCATCTTGAAGGTCTAAGTACACATTATAGAAATTTAAATTTTGATTCCAGCTATCAAATTTCAGTACGTGTTAGATTATCCTATTGAAATCTCCACAGAGGAAAAAAAAACTTTCAAGTTTGCCAAACATAAAAACTTACCTTTGTCTTGAAATTCCTGAAGATAGCTACAAAATAAAGAACATTATATTTTTAAATGAGGTTGAAAAATCAAAACAAGGTCTAATCAGTAACAATAATTAAAATCCAAAATCTATATTAAAAATACACACCTAGATATACATTAGAAAAAACTAATTCCTGTCCTGAAATGACAATTCCAAAATGCTTAAAAATTTTAAATAATTTTTAAAGATCTAAGTACAGTAGTAAAATGAGGACATATCTTAATATCTATGACATGTAAATATATTACATTTATTCATTTAAAGTAGTAACAATTAAAAGGATTATCTTTCTTCAGTGTCTGAGGTATTTTCTGTATATTAAAATCCTCAATTTACCTTTGTCTTATCATTTAAACCAAATATACCCTCAGATAATCAAAATAAACAGTTGAATTCTGCTAGAATGCTCAGAAAAATACATAATCAAGAAGGGCATTATAAGCATATCTGTGTTTAAAAACTATATAGTGGAAATCTATTTTTTGCCCTTTAAAAATACTTAACACCAATCAAATTAGAACATTAAAAATTTAACTCCATAATAATCGATTTCTTATTAAAATGTTAGTTACAAAACGGCTTCTATGTAAGAAATCAGTAAAGAAAAGGTAAGTGACTTACACAGACTTTACATCTTTTATCTTCTTAATAAGGGATTCTCTCTTTTCCTTTGCTTTCTTGGATAAATTTTCTCCTTTCAGTGTGTCTGCTACAAATGTTTCAACATCTAAACCACGCAATGTAAGAAACAGGATACAAATTATAAGAAATAAAGGTTTCGTGAAGATAAATAGGACAATGATTGTTTCTACACATAAGCGTTAATACCTGTACAATTTGTTATATTTATCATTCCAAAGCGTAACAGTTGAAGTATGTTTCAAATACTAAGTTGAACAAATCTGATCACCACTTAGCTAATAAAATGTGTATGTTGTATTTATGCTTACCACAGCAAATACTATTTGGATGTTTGGCATCATTAAACAGGAAAGAAGCACACAAGTTTTAATAAACTATCGTGCCAATTCTTTTATATGGAAGCAGGCACCAAGTTTTTACGCATGTGTTAATATCCTTTTCTAGTATTTTGTAAGTTCCGGTGTGAAAACGTCATTCATACATTGTATCAATATAAGCTAATGTCTCTGGCAAGGGTCTGTTTTCCCTAGAATAATCAATTTTCAGGTATATCCAACATGTAATGCTTTAAAGGAAAAAGAAAATCCAATTTTCTAGCCAAGATTCCCAAATCAAGCCCTCCTCCTTCCTACCTACCCACTCATTCTGACTACCCTCAAATAAAAAAGATAACCAGCTGTGTAGTTTTGTGAGCTCTTGCTTCTTGCCGTGGTTTACCACCTGAGATACTTCTTAAGGAAGAAGTACAAACATAAATTATTGCACTATATAAAAATATAGTTACCAAGAAATAAGATTTCTATGGCTTTATGTAACATTCCCTCATAGCCTCTGTTTTTTTAATTTTAGTAAACTTCTAAATTACCGTGTTGTCTGGTTCTCTCTAGTGTAAATTTTTTTTTTTTTTTACACTACAGGTTTAATTTTTATACTAGTTCCATTCTTCTTATTCATGAAATACTGTGCAATTTTAATTTTATTTTTAGAATTTCACAGCTCATTTTGAAATATCTAATATGGAGGATATCATTAAAAGGTGTTTAAGTAGGCATGGCTATAAATCATTGATTATTTCATATGGAAGGGATATATGTTTTACTTTCTTTTTCCTTAACTACTTTGTATGGCATCAAAACATAATAATATTACATATAAATAATTCAAAGTAGTATGGTAAACAATCTCTCAACTGTACTTACAATTAACCATTTAAAACCTAGTATATGGGATGAATGTTTGTAATTCTTGATTACAAAAGTATCTTGATCCAATGAGGAAAGCTGATTAAACTTCTATACATTCATAATAAATGTGTAAAGGTAATTTTTCACTAAGTCAATATGACAAGTAAAAGAATTAAGAATACTGTAATAATTTTTAAAAATAGCTTATGGTTTGAAGTCTATTAACAACTAATGTGTTAAAAATAAGTATCAAAATGAAATGAAAGCAAATGTCACAGCTTCTCTTTGAGTTATATTTTGATGAGGGGGACATAGAGACATAATCTAGTACTAGTGTAAATTAGACACAGACTTCTAAAGTGAATTTAAAATAACAAAACTTACAAAGAAGCATGCTGCTCTAAATGCTTTAAGTTTTGTACCCAGAAGACCAAGCAACCTTTGGACATTTAGACATTAGCTGAAATGGAAAGATCACTGGCTCCCCTCAGATCATTACATTAACTTTTGCAAGAAAGTGGAATAAGGGAAGAAGCAACATCCCTACTGCTGATTCTTCTTCCAACCAGACTCAATAGGAAGAATCACTGGCCCAGTGACTGGGGAATAGTCTGCTTAGTGTTATTTTCACTCAATGTTTGCCTTTGATTCCTTCTTCCATGAGTATTTAATTGCCTATTTTACATTTTCATTATACAATCCAAGTTTAAACAAACAGAATCTATTTTCTATCTCTGGAAGTAATAACAACAAATTGCCCCCAAGAGTTTTTTCTTTAAAAGGTCATTTCAGTTTTATAAAAACTCAGGAAAAAAAAAAAGGATGCAATAAATACTCTACATAGTGCTCTCTAACGCCCCCAAACATGTTTTAAAATACTGATCCATGTTACTATTTTATGACAAAGTATTTTTTTTGAAAGAGTGTGCAACTGCAGGAAGAATCGGTAATTTTCAAGGATGGCAGAAATTCAGAGACTGGGTACGGGTTTTTTTTTTTTTTTTAAGAGTAGCCTTTTTTAACATACTTATTCCTAAGCTTTTCCCAGAAAAGGTTTAAAGCAACTAAAATTATTTAATAAACAGTGCCTTTTTCGTGATTATTTCTCAAAGGTGATGTGGAGAGGGTGGAAACTGCTCTGCTAAAAAAAACAAAACAAAACAAAACAAAACAAAAAAAACCTTTAAACTGGAAGCAGTTCCTGAAATAATTTTAGTTTGTTGATTGTCCACAGACTTGGTTTTTAAACTTTTGAAACCTAGGTTATTTCTTAAAATCTACACTTTACCCGTTTCTTTTAGAATCGGATGAAACCAGCCTCTTTCAGGCACAGGAGACTCCTAGACATGCCGGTGGCCTTCGGCTGGTGCCTGAACAACACACCGATCCTGATCTCGCAACGCAAAGACAGACCAAGCGCCGCAAAGAAGTTGTAGGGCTGCGAGATGCTCCAGCTCTGCAGTCGGAGACACGCACATCTAAACCCCAGGGTTTCTCTCAGGCGGTGCTGTGAGCATGGAGAGCCAGGTCTGGGGCAGTGCCCTCGCCAGACAAACGGGGCTGGATCTGTGGCTTTGCAGCTCAGAGCCAGGGTAATATTTCAAAAGCGAGCAATAAAAGTCTTGGGCGAATCAAGTGCTCTTCTGGCTGGTTGGAGAAGAGATTTGAAGCTTTTTATTGTGCTCTAAATAGCCCTGCAAACGGTAAACTAGCAAGCACAGTAAACTAACAAGAGCGTTAGCCCTCTTCTACCTTCCTTTGAGGGTCGTGTTCCTCGGTTAATATGTAGATTTCACCATTCCCGACTGCCCGTAATTCAGGGAAACGCAGTAATTTAATTACAAGAAAAGGTCAGCCCCCCTCGCTCGACTCTTAGCCCGGTTTTTAGAATTCTTCCTCAGAGGGAGGGGCTCAACTCACACTCTCACGCATACTGGCCACGGGAGAGAAGCGTGTGAGGCCCACTCTGCGCCCACGGGAAAGGGTTTAACTACCGGGTTTAACTACCAGGTTTAACTACCCCCACCAACCCCCATCTCCTGCCTCCGGGCCAGCAGCCAAATAGATTGCAGGGTCTGCACTGCTTGCATTTAACCCCAGAATTACCCCTATCTCCATCAGCCTCCACCCCAGCCCAAGTCATCAGCAGGAAAAAGTTATCCCGGTGAAAGTAAATGTGATGGGATTTTAGTTACTATTACACCTCAACACTGTCAAGAGTAAACCTTATCTCATGGTACAGCTGTAAGGATCTGGGGGAGAAGGCCTCTGAAAAGATCAGATTTACAACTGCTCTGCCGATAAATGTCAAGGTCTGAAAACAAAATTAAAAGATGACGTATACTGGCTCAGCAATCTTAAGCAGTTTAAGTTAGAAATCTCTCAATTGCCATGGAGACCCCTAAGAGGCAAACACACCAAATCACTAAATAGTACTCCAATTTTCCTTTTTTCCCCCTTTTAACATATAGACCTCCTAAAAAACAGTCACCCCACCTTTCCCTAGAGTCACCAGTGGTTGGGACAAGTATCTAACACACACACTAACTGCTTTCTACCAACTTCTACACAGATCACATAGTGAAAAGGTGGAACTACACTAGGTCAGAACAGTTTACATTTTTTTTGCAAATGATAAAATAACTCTCAGCTTCTGGATATAGTATCTAGCACAGGTTCCCACTCTTGAAAAGCAGTTTGGCCACTTGTCCTCACAACCCCCAGCTATCAAACAGCCTAGAATATGGCTTGCAGACTGGAGGTTAAAAACAAGTCACAAAGGTAACACCTCCTCTTCCTGCCTAATCCTCCAATCACCCAATACCTCCTGGCACATGCATATACACACACTCAGCCTCCATGATGGCCTGAATTGTATGGGGGAGGGAGCAAGAATTGAGCTGAATCTACCACCATATGCTCAGCTGCAGATCAATAAAATAAAGGTAAAACCATCACACAGCACCCCCAATGGCCTTACTAACTTAATTCCACATCTCTCTCTACATTGTGAATTGGGCCAGATTTCTCTTTGCTTTCACTGAGATGTGCTGTCACCAAACTTAATATGATAGGGATCCTAGCCTAGAATCTAAGCTGCCGTTAGGAAAAAAAAAAAAAAAAAAAAAAAAAAGACAAGCTCTTCTCTGTTAAACCAGGGTATGGCTCTGACCAAACAGCTACTGATGAAAACGTAAAAATCCGTTAAACTGGGCACATGCAAATCAATGGAGCCAAATGCCCAAAGTTGGAAAATGGCTAATTGAAAAGTTATTGATTGTTCTGATGTCCTTCCCTGATTACTCAGCACGTGCTTTTACAGGTTGCAGATGAACTGTGGACTTTTCAAATATGGAAAAGGTGACATGAACTAGCACAAGAGCTCTCATGGTACAGTGGGTAAAACATACCAGAGTCTTACAATCCAATCATTGGACAAAATTTCCAAAATTGACTTTGGGAAGCTAAATGATATATTTTGATAGAAAGCTGGGAGATCGCGCCACTGCACTCCAGTCTGGGAGACACAGCGAGACTCCATCTCAAAAAAAAAAAAAAAGAAAGCTGGGCTGTTTAAAGGTGGGGCTGAACATCTTTCAACCGCTGAAAGATGACTCTTGATAAATAGCACCTTACAATAATCAAAATCTTTTTACCACACATTTTCAAAGAAGCCACAGTGAATAACACATTAGTCTGAGATTTACACTGTATTCACTTTTAGGCAGCATCTATTGTAATGTGTTCAGAATGTGATTGAAAAAGAAATGTAAACTCAGTGGAATGAAAAAGATAGACTTAGCTTTAATTGAAAAAGACAAACTAAGTGAATAATGAGTATATAAAATCTAGCCTATGCCACTTTTATCACCCATATATGACACTTAATCTGAAATTTATGAGAGACAACTGTGTTTCAAATCACCAGCAGCTTTTCCTACGCTGTTGTGTCTACCTTCTTTCTAGTAATACTTTAACGCTGGTAACAGGAGCAATAAGCCCATTTGCAAATTTTTCATATAATGCTAATTTTTTAATATGTTTAGATTCTTATTTTTGAAGAAAACCAATGATAATTTGGATTGGGTAGCTATAAAAACTGTACATAATATCAAGAGCCTTATATAGTAATGAGATGAAAATACTTTCAATGGACAGCCATGCCAAAAGATCTCCTCCCAAGACAAAGTAGGACATTATATACTTAAAACAGGCAAATAACTTTCCTAACACCACATCTTAATTCATCTGTATTCTTTAACCCATACAAAAAATCTCTATAAACTTCTAGTCCCTTAATTTACATATATTCCTATTTCCAGAAAAGAGTATCTTGGAGGTACAATAGATTTCATTTTGAGATTAAATGTTCTCATATCAACTCTATGCTCTTTAGTGATTGCTGCCCAGATCGGGGAGGCTTGTTCTTGCTCCATAGGAAAATCCAGGTGCTAAGGAGGTAGGTGACTACTGGTGACTCAGTAGGTGGCACTCTTCCCTTTACATACTCAGCCAATGTCCCAGAAGGAAGTTATGAGACACTAGATACACCATAAATAATTCTCATAGGAAAAATAAAACCAAAATGTTGACCAAATTATAAATGGAACTTTGGAAAGGTGGAAATCAAACCGTAATATACTCAGCATTGAAAAAATTCTGCCTCTATTTCAAATAAATTGCACTCTTCACCTAGTGCCCCTACAGGAATCCCTTTAGGGGACTGATTATATACCCTAAATAATATTGTGTGAAAAAAAATTCATACATTATAATCAATGTGTGAAGATAATCAATGTCCCCTAAACATACTGATTATCTTCACACATAGTGTGTGGGAAAAACATTTTTAATGTTCTAAAAATTCCCAGTAGGGAAAATGTGGTATTTCTAATCAAGACTGCCATGTGAACAAAACCTCAAGATCACTTTGCAGAAACTATATAACCACTTTATTTATTGTTTGTTTGGTTTGGTTTCATTTTTCAGAGCACTAACAATCACTATTTTCCTCTTTTAACAATGGTTTCATTTGCTAATTTAGTAAACAGAAAATAACATCTTCTTAGAGCTTTCCTTTTAAAATTTGTTGTCCTAAAACAAATGAATGAGGATGAATGAGAATATCTGATTGCAAGCCACTAAAAAACCATTATTTAAAGGGTGATTAAACAAATAAAGGAGGCTGGAGGGAAGTGGTTCTAGTTCCTCTTACTTTCTGGCCTGCCTAGAGAAAAAAAAATCACATAAATCAAGATTATTCTTGCTGCTAGTCCTTGTCAAAATATTTGGATGTGAGAGAAGATTAAATGGACAAGATTTGGGATTGTCCTTTGATTTCAATTATCCAGGCTAAACCTGTTCTTCCATTGTTGTAGAAAAGAAAAAAATCAAAGGTTGCCTGTAATGCATATGGCAGCTCAAAATTTGCTTTCAATAACGAAATTCTGTAAGTCCTTTTCTGTTCATATAACCAGAAGAATAATCAACATTTTATAAAAAGCATAGGTCTTCAAGACTGACTCCACAGAAAATATAACTAAAAATCAAACTAGATAGCCACTTTTTCAATGGTATCTTTACACAACACATGTGAGTTAACAATAATAAGCTTTTTTTTTTTTTTTTTTTTACATTTCTATGGAATGTTTTTTATAGGGGAAGGAAGGGAGAGGGAACAAATGTTGAAAGTATAGCATAGAACTGCCATAATCAGAAAAATAAAGAAAAACAATAAATATGAATACACTTGAGTACCTTCCCTTTTAAGCAGGTGAAATTTCAAACAATACATATGACATATAATGATTTAGATAATAGGCATATGGAACACAAACAGATACATCTAAACAACATTATTTTTAACAGTCATTATCTTTTGATTTTATATTCTTCTTTCTGAAAACAAAGGACTTTAAACCCCTGAAAAGTTTAGTTCCTTATCTTCTCTACCTTGGAATTCTAGCATAGTACCATACATTCTAAGAGCACTCAACTGTTAACTACAACAACATTACCAATATCTCCTTAGTTTCAAAGAAATATGCTAAATAAGCCAGCAATATCTCTAATATTCAAACCAATATAAATGCTTCTATAATGTTAGTTACTCTAAATCTACTCATATACTCTTACCCAATAAACTTGAATTATGAAAAGAATCATGTATAATGCCAACAATATTTTTAGATGAAATACGTGAAATAACTGCTGACAGCATCTATTCTTGAAGCCTTCTCTACCTCAAAAAAGATTTTAATTACAGTCAAACATAAGATGTTAACAATTTTCCAAATAAGTTTTTTAAAAACCCGAAAAACACTGATTTGTTAAATTTCTTTAAATATAAATACACCCCAACTCACTTCCATACTTCTTGAAAATATCCTCTGAAAATAAAGTGTAATTTAAGTTTCTAATTCCAAAAGTTTTAATTGTAATATTTGTTTTTAATACTTCATGTGTTTTAATATGTGATTTGCTTTAATAATATAAAATAGTGAAAATGTCAATAAAATGACTTTAATTTCAGACGTTATGCTAGTATATTACCTGACTAAAGAGAGAGGGCAGAAATATATCGGAAATTAGCATTGGCAGATAATTTAAAGATGTAATTTTGAGTTTTTAAATTACACAAATAAGGGCCACATGAAATACTTGTGATCTATGGGAATAAGAGAATAAAGGTTCTCATGACCTACATATCATATTATCTGTGATGTATGATTATGGATCCAAATAACAAACTGCACTATGGGAGTTGCCAAGCTTTAAAACGTGCACCTAGAGGTCTATATGTTAGTTCTTAAATTCAAAAATACAGACATAGAATATCCTGAAAATTGTTTCATCTATTTTTGGAATAATGATAAACACTTTTCTGCACTGGTTATTACAATAATATTCTAAATAAACAATTCCAGCACTGTAACAACAAAAAATGTTAAGTGTAGTAAAACAAAATCAGTAGTCACGCAGATGTAATAAAGCTGCCTGAAGTCAGTCTTTAGACTTCTTTAACTATTTCCCTTAGTGGTACCCTTTAATGACAACAAGCATTTCTTAGAGTGAAAGGCTATCCCACCACAAATGCATTCAACATACTGTACCGTAATCATACAAACATAAGTCTACATTCATACACTTAGTTTTCATTTCCCTACCACATTAATAATGCCAAGCACCAAAATTGAATAACAGCATATTAGGAGATTTGGACTCACATTGCTATAGGAGTAACCTACTATTTCAAATGTCACATTTTAGATGATGTTGCTTTTTAAGAGTTATAATAAGCAATCTGTAATCTATTCATGAACAATACTGAAAGATAAATATTTTATAGAATCTAAAACTAAAAATCGAAATTCAGTTTCCAGAATTCTGACGTACACAAGACAAAATAAATGATGGTTGAAATTCCAGAACATTAAGATAGGCAAGATTTGTGCTACCTTAAAAAGATATATTTTCTAACTTGTACAGAAATATAAATTTTTATTGGTTCTTAGTGAACATACACACCTCCATATCCAGAAAATTAATGAACTAGTAGTGGATTCATAATGCTACTGAAGAACCACGTTTTTAGCTCCTAAAACAAGTTCCTATAAATGGTAATGTAAAACTGAAAAAGGGAAGATAAGGGTGCAAACATGAAGTACTTTCATCGTGTCACACAGGAAGTAGAACTTTAACATATCCTTCCTTTTTTGCTTTAATATATTACTGAGGCTGGGGACAAGTGGCCATTTGAGAACCAGACCTTCTTCAAAAGTTGTAAACGTGAGTGAGCTGAATGTTTAAGAAAAACAGGAGTTTTAGAAATGACAAACTCTTTCACCCCATAACCCCTAACACCTGTGGCTCTGACATCTCTTTGCATCTCTACATCCTCTACCTCCATTGGCCAGACCACCCAAGAACTACTTCTTTGACTTCTGCTCCCTTCTGCCTGCTCACGCAGCATTCATTATCATTCTCTCCCTCTACCACTCTTCCTTCCCCGCCCTCCTCTGTCGCGCACGCACACACACACACACACACACACACACACACACACACACAGTCTTCACAATGCACATAGAAACGTCCTGATCTCACTTGTGTAGACCACCAAAAAGGGCTTCGCCACCATCCCCGCACCAAATTTCAACACACACGCCCACTCCCTTTCTGAGACGAAACAACCCTTCTTCTCTCCTCCCTGTGCCAACCCCACTGGCTAGAAGACGTAGGGAGCGTGCGGATGGAGGATAAGGGCTCTGAGTGCTTCTGTCCCCACCGGCTTACCGTTCCCTCGCCCCCGCCCCAACAGCATTACCGCCGCCTTCCCGCTCTTTACCTGCCAACAGGTTCCTAATTTCCTCAGGGAGGGGGTATGGAGAGGAGGTGCTGCTGGGGTTGGGCATGTTAGGGAGCGCAGGGCGTGCGGGGAAAGAACCTGCGCTGAAAAGGTGACCGACGGGTTGGGGCTGCGGCTGCGACCTAGACTCAGGCTAGCGGCCCGGATAAAAACAGCGGGGCTACAAGTCGGGACACTGGCGGGCCAGGGCTCACAACAAGGAAGTCACTGAATCTCCAGCAAGCAGCAGCTGGACTGTCGGCCCGGCCCCGCCCAGAGGGTCGGGGCGGGGAGATGGGTAGGAAGAGACACGAAGGGCCTGAGGGGTCCAACTGCGCATGTGTATTCCTCGGTTTTCCCGGCCCCAGAAGAAAGAGCCTCTGGGCAAGCCACGCCCACCGCTACGCCGGGAAGCAGGAGGAGGAGCCGCTGGTGGGAAGTGGGCGGACTGAGGCTGCGTCACCTGATCCAGCGTCCGAAGCGCCTTACAGCCATTTTTGGTACTGGTGACACCACAGCTGCTGATCGTTTCTCCAGGATTCCAGAAAATAATGTATCCGTGATACACAGTGTATAGAAGTTTTCCAATTACGCCTTCTGCGTAACAGTTAGTCCCACCGCAGTTTAACCCACAAGGAATTTTCTATTGTCCAAAACTATTATGGCCGCCTTTGTCCGATTGAACGGAGGTAACGAAGTCTCATCTTCCGCCAGTCGTCCCGGAGAAGCCAGTCTGGAGCCGCCCCGCAGCGCGCGTTGTGATTGGCTCTTACATTACTTTTCTACCTAATTCATATCCTTGGGGTGACAGATTTTCCCCACTATAAGGAAGAATGGGAAGTTCTAAGCACTGTCCTTTGGCAGGAAAAAACAAAACAAAACAAAAAAATCAGAAGGCCTAATAGACATAGGCACCACTGTCCATCTACAAGCATCAAAAATAAAATTGCTGGTGGTGATTAGTAGAATAAAATTATAAAATCTGCTCACTCCAACTTGACCATTTAGTCAACAAATACTTATTGTCTGCTATGTGTAAAGCTTCTTAAAAGTTTTCTCTTAAAAAAAATGGCTTCTTTAAAACCTTTAACAGGCATACATCTTTGTGCTTCCCAGATACTACATTTTTTAACAAATTTAAGGTTTGTGGCAAGCCTGCATCAACCAAATCTGTGGGCGCCATTTTTCCAAAAGCATGTGCTCACTTCATGTCTGTGTCACATTTTGGTGATTCTCACAATATTTCAAACTTTTTCATTATTATTATTATATATGTTATAGTGATCTTTGAAGTTACTATTATAATTACTTTGGGGCAGCACAAACAGCACCCATATAAGACAGCGACTGTAATCCATAAATGTGTGCATTCTGACTGCTCTACCAACCATACCTTCCCCCCATATCTCTCCCTCTCTTGGGCCTCCCCATTACTTGAGACACAACAATATTGGCATTAAGCCAATGAATAACCCTACAATGGCCTCTGAGTGTTCCAGTAAAAGAATCACATGTCTCTCACTTTAAATCAAAAGCAAGAAATGTTTAAGCTTAGTGAGGAAGGCATATTGAAAGCCGAGACAGACCAAAAGCTAGGGCTCTTGCACCAAACAGCCAGGTAGTGAATGCAAAGGAAAAGTCCTTGAAGGAAACTAAAAATGCTACTCCAGTGAACATGCGAATGATAAGAAAGTGAAGGAGACTTATTGCTGGTAAAGAACGTTTTCATGTTCTGGATGGAAGATGAAACCAGACATAACATTCCCTTAAGCCAAAGCCTAATCAAGTGCAAGGCCCTAACTCTCTTCAAGTCTACAAACGCTGAGAGGTAAGGAAGCTGCAGAAGAAAAGTTGGAAGTTAGCAGAGGTTGGTTCATGATGTTTAAGGAAAGAAGCCATCTCCAGAACATAAAAGTGTAAGGTGAAGCAGCAAATGCTGGTGAAGAAGCTGCAGCAAGTTATCAAAAAGATCTAGCTAAGGCCAGGCATGGTGGCTCATGCCTGTAATCCCAGAACTTTGGGAGGATGAGGCGGACGGATCACGAGGTCAGGAGATAGAGACCATCCTGGCTAACACGGTGAAACCCTGTCTCTACTAAAAAAAATGCAAAAAAAAAAATTTAGCTGGGCATGGTGGCCAGCCGTGGCTGGCGCTTGTAGTCCCAGCTACTCAGGAGGCTGAGGCAGGAGAATGGCGTGAACCCAGGATGCGGAGCTTGCAGTGAGCCAAGATAGCACCACTGTACTCCAGCCTGGGCGACAGAGTGAGACTCCATCTCAAAAAAAAAAAAAAAAAAAAAATCTATCTAAAATATCTGATGAAGGTGGCTATACTAAACAAAGAGTTTCAATGTAGATGAAACAACACTTACTGGAAAACAGTGCCATCTAGAACTTTTGTAGCTAGAGAGTAGAAGTCAATGCCTGGCTTCAAAGCTTCAAAGGAAAGGCTGACTCTCTTGTTAGGAACTATTTCAGCTGCTGACTTTAAGTTGAAGCCAATGCTCATTTACTGTTCTGAAAATCCTAGGGCCCTTAAGGATTATGATAAATCTACTCTGCCTGTGCTCTATAAGTGGAACGACAAAGCCTGGACGACAGCACATCTGTTTATAGAATGATTTGCCGAGTATTTTAAGCCCACTGTTGAGATCTACTGCTCAGAAAAAAAGATGCCTTTCAAAATATTGCTGCTTATTGACAGTGCACCTGGTCACCCAAGAGCTCTGATGGAAATATGTAAGAAGATTAATGTTTTCATATCTGTTAGTACAACATCCATTCTGCTGCCCATGGATCAAGGAATAGTTTCAACTTTCAAGTGTTATTTTAAAAATATATTTCATGGCTGGCCATGGTGGGTCGCACCTGTAATCCCAGCACTTTGGGAGGCTGAGGCAGGAGGATCACTTGAGGCCAAGAGTTCAAGACCAGCCTGGGCAACATAGTGGCACCCCATCTCTACAAAAAATAGAATAATTAGCCAGGTGTGGTGGTGTGTGCCTGTAGTCCTAGCTACTCAGGAAGGGAGATGTAGGATCCCTTGGGCCCAGGAGTTCAAGATTACAGGGAGGTATGACTGTGCCAGTGAACTCCAGCTTGGGCCACAAATGAGACGCTATCTTAAAAATATATATATATATATGTGTGTGTGTGTGTGTGTGTGTGTGTGTGTGTGTGTGTGTGTGTGTATGGCTATAGCTGCCATAGATAGTCATTTATCTAATATATCTGGGAAAAGTAAATTGAAAAGCTTCTGAAAAAGGTTCACCATTCTAGATGCAATTAAGAATATTCATGATTCATGGGAAGAGTCCAACATTAACAGGAGTTTGGAAGAAGTTGATTCCAGCCCTCAGGGATGATTTTGAGGGGTTCAAGACCAGTGGAGGAGGTCACTAGAGATGTGGTGGAAATAGCAAGAGAACTACAGTTAGAAGTGGGGCCTGCAGATGTGACTGAACTGCTGCAATCTCATGATAAAACTTGGAGGTATGAGGAGTTGCTTCTTATGAATGAGCAAAGAAAGTGGTTTCTTGAGATGAAATCTACTCCAGTCAAGATGGCGTGAATACTGAGATTAACTGTGAATAATAAGAAAGGATTTAGAATACTACATCAACTTAGTTGATAAAGCAGTGGTTGGAGAGGATTGACTCCAGTATTGAACGAAGTTCTACTGTGGGTAAAATGCTAGCAAACAACATCACATGCCACAGAGAAATCTTTCATGAAAGGAAGAGTCTATCGAGGAAGCAAATTTCATTTTTGTTTTATTTCAAGAAATTGCCTCAGCCATCCCAGCCTTCAGCAATCACCACCCTTGTCAGTCAGCAGCCATTCACACTGAGGTAAGACCCTCCACCAGAAAAAAGATAACATGCTGAAGACTCAGATGATCCTTATTATTTTTTAGCAATAAAGTTTGGGGGCTTTTTTTAGAGATGGAGGTCTCCCTATGTTTGCCCAGGCTGGCCTGGAACTCCTGGGCTCAAAGGATCCTCCCACCTTAGCCTCCTGAGTAGCTTGGGACTACAGGAATGTACCGACATGTTCAGTTTCAATAAAGTATTTTTCAGTAAGGTATGTAAGTTACTTTTCTTTTTTTTTTTTTTTTTTTTGAGACAGAGTCTCGCTCTGTCGCCCAGGCTGGAGTGCAGTGGCCGGATCTCAGCTCACTGCAAGCTCTGCCTCCCGGGTTCACACCATTCTCCTGCCTCAGCCTCCCGAGTAGCTGGGACTACAGGTGCCCGCCACCACGCCTGGCTAGCTTTTTTGTATATTTTTAGTAGAGACGGGGTTTCACCGTGTTAGCCAGGATGGTCTTGATCTCCTGACCTCGTGATCCACCCGTCTCAGCCTCCCAAAGTGCTGGGATTACAGGCTTGAGCCACCGTGCCTGGCATTATTTATTTTTCTAGACATAATGCTACTGCATACTTAATGAACTACAGTAAACATAATGCTTATATGCACTGGGAAAGCAAAATATTTGTGTGACTTACTTTACTGCAATAGTTGCTTTATTGGTTTGGTCTAGAACCTAATCTGCAAAATCTGTGAGGTATGCCTGTGTGTGTGTGTGTGTGTGTGTGTACACTCATATTTATTACATATATGTACACATATACATATTTATTACATTCAAGTGCCTCTTAACCATTAAAATCCCTCAAAACCTGGTGTAGAACCATCAAGGAAAATTAAGTCACCAAAATCCCTGAAGAACACAGAATAGAGGCTGAAGAGGAAGGCTTCAGCCAGAAACTGCCTAGGCAAAGCATTTAGTGAGTATACACTGTGTATTTCTCTTAGTAGAAATATTATTGACATTCCGGGCGCGGTGGCTCAAGCCTGTAATCCCAGCACTTTGGGAGGCCGAAACAGGTGGATCACGAGGTCAGGAGATGGAGACCATCCTGGCTAACCCGGTGAAACCCCGTCTCTACTAAAAAATACAAAAACCTAGCCAGGCGAGGTGGCGGGCTTCTGTAGTCCCAGCTACTCGGGAGGCTGAGGCAGGAGAAGGGCGTAAACCCGAGAGGCGGAGCTTGCAGTGAGCTGAGATCCGGCCACTGCACTCCAGCCTGGACAACAGAGCGAGACTGTCTCAAAAAAAAAAACAAAAGAAATATCATTAACAACATGAGTCATTGAGATGCCCCCTGCCACACCCTCCATCTCTGCTTGGCAAGGCACATTTTCAAAACTACGTAAATGTCAGCTTCTATATTAAGTCTTCACTTAGATTTCCCTTGGTAGAGGTAGTGGCTCTTTCCTAGAAGTTACTATTATATCTTATGTTGTGCCTGGGCGCCAGTCACAATGTAAATTGTTTATTCCTTTGCCCTCCAGCCTTCACTAGATCAATTAAACTTTAGTTTTCATTAGAATCACAGAGAGAACCTATTACATTGTGAATTCTCAAATCCCATCCCCAGAGATTCTGAGTCAGTCTTATTAGGATGGGGCCTGAGAATCTGCATGTTAAACAGTCCTCAGCCGTAGCTCACACCTGTAATCCTAGCTCTTTGGGAGGCTGAGGTGGGTGGATTGCCTGAGCTCAGGAGTTTGAGACCAGCCTGAGCAACATAGTGAAACCCCGTCTCTACTAAAATACAAAAACTTAGCCGGGTGTGGTAGCGTGCACCTATAGTCCCAGCTGCTCGGGAGGCTGAGGCAAGAGAATTGCTAGAACCTGGGAGGCAGAGATTGCAGTGAGCCAAGATCACACCACTGCACTCCAGCCTGGGCAACAGAGCGAGACCCTGTCACCGGAAAAAAAAAAGAAAAAATCCTCATAGGTGAATGCAAGACATCGTGAAATTTCATTTTGAGAATCACTTTGCTACTTCCCAGCTACTACAGGGCACAAAATTTGTTGTAACTTATCTTTCATCCTCAGCTGGAATCCTAAACCTAACACAGAATAACAACTTTATTAATAGTTCATCAAAAACACTTCAGTCTAATAAAAAA